TAGTGTTCCAATTTTGTTCCAAAAGTTAGATGATTTTGACTTGGCGAGGCAACAGGCCATTCTTCTCTGTAGTGTTCCAATTTTGTTCCAAAAGTTAGATGATTTTGACTTGGCGAGGCAACAAGCCATTCTTCTCTGTAGTGTTCCAACAGTTTATTATGACTTCGAGGCAACATGCCAATCTCTTCTCATGTGTTCTAATTTTGTTCCAAAAGTTAAATGATTTTGACTTGGCGAGGCAACAAGCCATTCTTCTCTGTAGTGTTCCAATTTTGTTCCAAAAGTTAAATGATTTTGACTTGGCAAGGCAACAAGCCATTCTTCTCTGTAGTGTTCCAATTTTGTTCCAAAAGTTATAATGATTTTGACTTGGCGAGGCAACAAGCCATTCTTCTCTGTAGTGTTCCAATTTTGTTCCAAAAGTTAAATGATTTTGACTTGGCGAGGCAACAGGCCATTCTTCTCTGTAGTGTTCCAATTTTGTTCCAAAAGTTAAATGATTTTGACCTGGCAAGGCAACATGCCATTCTTCTCTGTAGTGTTCCAATTTTGTTCCAAAAGTTATAATGATTTTGACTTGGCGAGGCAACAAGCCATTCTTCTCTGTAGTGTTCCAATTTTGTTCCAAAAGTTAAATGATTTTGACTTGGCGAGGCAACAGGCCATTCTTCTCTGTAGTGTTCCAATTTTGTTCCAAAAGTTAAATGATTTTGACTTGGCAAGGAAACAGGCCATTCTTCTCTGTAGTGTTCCAATTTTGTTCCAAAAGTTAAATGATTTTGACTTGGCAAGGCAACAGGTCATTCTTCTCTTTAGTGTTCCAATTTTGTTCCAAAAGTTAAATGATTTTTACTTGGTGAGGCAACAAGCCATTCTTCTCTTTAGTGTTCCAATTTTGTTCCAAAAGTTAAATGATTTTGACTTGGCGAGGTAACAAGCTATTCTTCTCTGTAGTATTCCAATTTTGTTCCAAAAGTTAAATGATTTTGACTTGGCGAGGCAACAAGCCATTCTTCTCTTTAGTGTTCCAATTTTGTTCCAAAAGTTAAATGATTTTGACTTGGCGAGGTAACAAGCTATTCTTCTCTGTAATGTTCCAATTTTGTTCCAAAAGTTAAATGATTTTTTGACTTAGCGAGGCAACAAGCCTAGACTGGGTTCCAGTCCCTAATCTTTGTCTTAATCAGTTGAAATGCACGAAAAAGCCATAAATTAGAGACTTGTGGCAAGTCTACAACAAGCCATTCTTCTCTGTAGTGTTCCAATTTTGTTCAAAAAGTTAAATGATTTTGACTTGGCGAGGCAACAGGCCATTCTTCTCTGTAGTGTTCCAATTTTGTTCCAAAAGTTAAATGATTTTGACTTGGCGAGGGAACAGGCCATTCTTCTCTTTAGTGTTTCAATTTTGTTCCAAAAGTTAAATGATTTTGACTTGGCGAGGCAACAAACCGTTCTCCTCTGTAGTGTTCCAATTTTGTTCCAAAAGTTTTTGTTCTTGGTAGCAGGGCGGTGCCAGCAAAAGAGGGGGATTGTTAAATATTGATCGTAAATTTTGGGAGCTACTGGGGTGGCAAGCTGTCTCTTATACACATCTAGATGTGTATAAGAGACAGGTGTG